TAGGCCTGCTAGTTTGAACTCTTTTAAGTTTATATTATTTCCTTTGTTCTCTGATATATTTAATATGAGTCTTTCTTTTTTCCCAAATCATTCTGATAACCTTCCTACTGTTAGCTCAATGAAATTTGAATGGTTATCTTGAGTCTACTTTTCCCCTGCAAGTAGTGTTACTTGCTTCCTGATGGGTTTTTTCCCCACAGGAAGGGAAGGAGAGAATGTAGCTCCAGTAGCAGCACTGCAAGTACTGGAAAGAACATTCAACATAATAAACGTGGTGGAGCATTAAAATATTCAACATAAATTGCAGTTTAAAAATACTTTAGCTTGAGTGCCAATAGTTCAAGGGGATTTATTCCCTATAGAAGTATTTATCTCTAATTTTATAATTACAGTGGTAAAGTTGAATTGCTTCATGAACTTTGTGTGTTTATTTCACTAGTATTTGAAATTTGGGGAATTTAGTGTAATGCTTGCTCCAAAGCAAAGCACTACCTTGAACTAATCTGGATTTCAAGTGCTCTCCCATCATTTTAAAAGATTTAAAGATAACATTTATAAATCACTCTTCAGAGGCTTTCAGACCCATATAAAATAATTCAAGGAGCTATGAAATATAAACTTAGTCCTATACTTGGTAAGAATATGCTTCGTCTATTTTGAAAATGTGGAAAGCATTACAAGAAATCGGAGGATCCAAGAGGAAGAAAACTAGTATAGAAAAGAACATTATTTTTTTGTTTTGAGGCTTTTAAATACAAAAATAGCTTATTTTTAAAATTAAGATCTTTTTAAAACAAATAACTCATTGGAAGTACAGGAAACTATGGCAAGAGAAAAGTATGGGAGTTCTGAAATCTGAAAGTGTGAATTATGTAAGCTGTATATTAATAAGTTCTTGGATAAATTCAGGCAATTTAATTTTTAGCAATTTAGAAATAGAGCATACTTCAAGAGTCCTTTATCCCACTTGAGAAGTACTAGATTTAAAAAATAATTCCAGAGTTTATTTTAAATGCCTATCCATGCCTGTCCTTCCTTCCCTCCCTCCTTTCCCCTCTCCCTCTCTTCCTTTCCCTTCCCTTCCCCTCCTTTTCTCTCTCTCTCTCTCACACACACCCAGTACCTGGACTCACTCATAGGAAGTTTTTGAGACTTCAGGGCCCAGTCTTACCATAAAATAACAAAAACCTTGCGTATACTGTACATATGTTGACTGTGTTTTATTTTTTCTTTTATAATGGTGATAAGTAAATCCATTAAATTTTAAGATAGATAAATTTAGACTTTTTAGACAAACTAGATATTCTGAAAATTTATCATCTGACTTACTGAACTTAAGCTATTATGTAGCTGTTTCTCCACTTTTTGTATATTTAATATGTTGGTTCTTAAATATTTGGTAAGTTTGTAAAATAATTCTTTAAGTCTTATTTTTAAAATAGTCTTTTCTCATTTTGTCAGTTGATTGATTCAACAAGCACTATGGATGGAGCAATCGCTGCTGCCTTGCTGATGTTCGGTGATGCAGGTAAGCCTGACTTGGTTTCAAGCCATGTTGAAGGTAATACATATCTTCTCATTTTTATTGCTCATCATTTTACCAAGCTTCTTCACGAATTCTTACAGGAACCTTAGGAATTATTAATAGCTTCAGGGGTTTTAGATGAAAACAGTGAAGATTAAGAAGGTTTAAAAAAATAAGGTTAAGGTTATGTGACTAACTTACCTCAGGTCTTAGAGTAATTTGGGAACTGGACTTTCTAGGTTGCATTTTCTTTACCTCTTCCCAAAAAAGGGGAAGGGACAGTCTCATTGGTAATTTTGCTTGTCCTCTACGATCAAATCTCTTTTAATAGTGAAGTTTTGGGAGATATATTTTCTTTAATAAGTGTCCTTTCTGGTTCATTGTAGTTTTACTTATCTAAATGAGAGTCAGGAACTTAAGGAAATCCTAGCCTGTAATCAGCATTCCTTTGTGTACTGAACATTTATGCTATAGTCCAGTTTTAAAACACTTAAGTAAAATACATTTATATAAGTACCTCCAATTTTTTTCAATAAGTGCTGCCTAGATTTTTTTTTATGTACCCAGCAAGTAAAACTAACCTATAATCCCACTACTAAAAAAACTAAAAATGAAAGCAAGCCTATATACTATTATATAATACATACACATTAGATTACAAAATATAATTGTAGTATTGGTTTGCATTTTTAAGAAAAGTCATTTGATCATTTATCGTGGATAATTTGTCATTACAATAAAAAATTTATCTAATTACAAAGTACCTCCATAACATTCCTCTGTGACACCAGTAGGATTAATTTATTGTTTCTCTACACATGAACATCACCAGATGGTCAATACCAAAGTCATATTGATTATATTCTTTTCAGCCAAAGATGGAGAATCTCTATACAGTCAGCAAAAACAAGACCGGGAGCTGACTGTGGCTCAGATCATGAACTTCAGACTTACTCAATTCAGACTTAAATTGAATAAACTAGGGAAAACCACTAGGCCATTCAGGTATGACCTAAATCAAATCCCTTACAATTATACAGTGGAAGTGACAAACAGATTCGAGGGATTAGATCTGATAGAGTGCCTAAAGAACTATGGATGGAGGTTCATGACATTGTACAGGAGGCAGTGATCAAAACCATCCCCAAGAAAAAGAAATTCAAAAGGCAAAATAGTTGTCTGAAGAGGACTTACAAACAGCTGAGAAAAGAAGAGAAGCAAAGGAGAAAAGGAAAGCTAAACCCATCTGAATGCAGACTTCCCGAAGAATAGCAGGGAGAGATAAGAAAGCTTTCCTAACTGATCAGTGCAAAGAAATAGAGGAAAAGAACAGAACGGGAAAGACTAGAGATCTCTTCAAGAAAATAGAGATTACCAAGGGAACATGTTATGCAGAGATGGGCACAATAAAGGACAGAAACGGTGTGGACCTAACAGAAGCAGAAGATACT